TGGTACCAGGGATTGAAATCAGGGGCACTCAATCACTGAGCCACATCCCCATCCCTATTTTGTATTTTATTTAAAGACAGTGTCTCACTGAGTTTCTTAGTGCCTTGCTTTTGCTGAGACTGGCTTTGAAATGACAATCTTCCTGCCTCAGCCTCCCAAGCCACTGGGATTACAGGTATGTGTCACCACATGGGCCTTTATTAAGAATTTTTGGAGGGCTGGGGATGTGGCTCAAGTGGTAGCATGCTCGCCTAGCATGCAAGAGGCACTGGGTTCGATTCTCAGCACCACATAAAAATAAAATAAAGATATTGTGTCCACTTAAAACTAAAAAAAATTTAAAAAATGGGGCTGGGATTGTGGCTCAGCTGTAGAACACTCGCCTAGCACTGGCAGAACCCGGGTTCGATCCTCAGCACCACATAAAAAAAAAGGCATTGTATTGTGGCCATCTATACCTAAAAAATAAATTTTTTTTTTTTTAAAGAATTTTGGGGTCTATGTTCTTCAGGGATATTGGTCTGAAGTTTTCTTGATGTGTCTTTGGTTTTGGCGTCAGGGTAATGGTAGCTTCATAGAATGAGTTTGGAAGGGTACCTTCCTTTTCTATTTCTAATTTGAGAAGTATCAGTATTTATTCTCCTCTGAAGGTCATATAGAACTTGGCTGAGAATCCATCTGGTCCCAGGCTTTTCTTGATTGGGAGGCTTTTCATGGTGTCTTCTGTTTCCATGTTTGAAATTGATATGTTTAAATTGTGTATGTCCTCCTGATTCAAATCATATGCCTCTAGAAATTTTGTCCGTGTATTTGAGATTTTCTATTTTACTATTTTATTTGAGATTTTCTATTTTACTATGTAAATTTTCAAAGTAGTTTGTAATTATCTTCTGTATTTCAGTAGTGTCTGTCATGATATTTCCTTTTTCATCACAAATTTTAGCAATTTGAGTTTTCTCTCTCCTTTTCCTTAGGGTGACTAAGCATTTATCAATTTTATTAATTTTTTAACAGACCAGCTTTTTGTTTTGAGTTAATTTTTTCAATTGTTTCTTTTGTTTCAATTTCATTGATTTCAGCCCTGATTTTGATTATTTCCTTGCCTTCTACTTTTGGAATTGGTTTGTTGTTCTTTTTCTAAGGCTTTAAGATGAAATGTCAGGTTGTTTATTTGTTGACTTTTTCTTCTTTTTTTTAATCTCCTCCCTGATGTCTTCTGTTATCCATGCGTCATTCAGTAGCTATTGTTTGGTCTCCAGAAGTTGAAGTAGCTTTTATTTTTTATTTAATCATTGATTTCTAATTTTATTCCATTATGGTCTGATAGAATACAGGGTAGTATCTCTGTTTTTTTATATTTGCTAAGACTTGCTTTTTGGAATAACATGGTTTATTTTAGAGAAGGATCCATTCACTGTGAAGAAAAAAATATATTCACTTGTTGATGAATGAAGTATTCTATATATGCTGGTTAAGTCTAAATTATTGGTTGTATTATTGAGTTCTATAGTGTCTTTGTTTATTTTTTGTTTGGAAGATCTATCCAGTAGTGAAAGAGGTGTGTTAAAGGCACCCAGTATTATTGTGTTGTGGTATATTTTCTTAAAATTGGAGGAGGGTTTGTTTGATATATGTGGATGCTGCATTGTTTGGGGGGTGATATTTATTTTTTAGTTGTAGTTGGACACACTGCCTTTATTTTGTTTATTTTTATGTAGTGCTGAGGATTGAACCCAGGGCCTCATACAGGTTAGGCGAGTACTCTACCACTGAACCACAACCCCAGCCCTATACCTCAGTTTCTTTATCCATTCATCTGTTAAAAGGCACCATAGGTTAGTTCCATAGTTTAGCTATTGTGAATTGAGCTGCTATAAACTTTGATGTGGCTGCCTCACTATAGTATGCTGATTTTAAGTCCTTTGGGTATAAACCTAGGAGTGGGTCAAATGGGGGTTCCAATCCAGGTTTTCTTAGGAATCTCCATACTGCTTTCCATAGTAGTTGCACCAATTTGCAGTCCCACCACCAATGTATGAGTGTACCTTTTTCCCCATGTCCTTGCCAACATTTATTGTTGCTTGTAATTCAGGAGCATTAGTTTTGAACTTTTGATGAAGTCTATCATTTTTTTTAAAGAGAGAGAGAATTTTTTAATATTTATTTTTTAGTTTTCGGTGGACACTACATCTTTGTATGTGGTGCTGAGGATCAAACCCGGGCCACACGCATGCCAGGTGAGCGCGCTACCACTTGAGCCACATCCCCAGCCCAAATCTATCATTTTTTTTCTTTTACTTTAATAGTTGTAGTGTTTTAGATCCATGATTTGTTTTAAATGAATTTTCACTTATGATATGTGAATGGGTTGAGGCCATTTTTTTCTCTAAATTACGAAAGTTAAAGCATTAATATGAGTGACAGTGCATTTACCAGACTGGTTTATGAGAAAATAAGGATAAAATTCTGACAGAAAGATTGGGATGATGTTGAAGGATGAGAAACAAATGTTTTGGGAGAGAGCAAGAAAAAGGCTCTTTACAGAAGAGTTGGGTATCAGTATATCAGGCCTTCTGAAAGCAAACCAATGAAAACAGAAATTGATGCTAATATCAGTTTTTACACAGAAATGATAATATTGATAATTAAAATACTATAGTAACCAGGTTTAAATGCAAAGATAGTTTTTTGGGTCTATTTTTTTGATGAAGGTAGATCATTAATTATATATATACTTTGTTGATTAGCACATGTGAGCCTCAAATTGCAGCTAGATAAAAAAAGCACTGTCTCTAGTTATACAGTTATAGGTGGTTTTAATTTCAAGGTCTTCAAGTCCAACTCTGTAGGTATAATGAGTAGGAGCTTTAAAGTCAACTAGGATTACAGGTGTGTGCCACTGTGCCCAGCCAAGGTAGATTCCTTTTAAATGGAATGTTCTTTGTACTTAGTGGGCCTGTTCAATACATAGATTCAATCTGTAATTCTGACAGATTTTCTTTGAAAATTTCCTGCATTCATTTAAAAATTTTTTTTTAATTATAGATGGTCACAATACCTTTATTTTATTTTATTTATATGCAGTGCTGAGAATTAAATCCTATGCCTCATTCATGCTAGGCAAGCACTCTACCACTGAGCCACAATCCCAGCCCCCTGCATTCATTATTGTTCAAATTTCCTTTCTACTCAAAATAGTTGTTGGACCATCCCATCATTGCTATCTTTATTCTTTCATTACAGAACTGGGCCTTCCATGAAATTGAGGCAGTGTAACGGCCCCTCTTCAAACCTTGATTTTTGCAAGTATGCCAGAAAGATTTCAGACATATCACTCAGTTTAACAGGCATGAGTTCTTTAGAAAGGGATAGGAAAGGGAGCTAGGTGTGGTGGCGCACACCTGTTATCACAGCAACTCAGAAGGCTAAGGCCAGCCTCCGCAAAGAGGCCCTAAGCAATTTAGTGAAACCCTATCTAAAAAAAAAAATTTAAAAAAAAAAAAAAGGCTGTGTATACAGCTCAGTTGTAAAGTGCCCCTGGGTTCAATCCCAAGTATTTTCTCCCTCCTCTCACAATAAAAAGGCTCCCCAGAGTTAACATATCCTGCCCACTTAAGCTAGACAGGGCTACAGATAAATTGCTTTTCAAAGTGAAAGCATAGCCAGGCATGGTGTTGCACACTGGTAATCCCAGCAGCTAGAGAGGCTGAGGCAAAGTTCAAAGCCAGCCGTGACAACTGAATGAGAACCTAAGCAATTTCTCAAGACCCTGTCTCAAAGGCAACAGGGTAGGGCCTGGAGATGAAGCTTTAGTGATAAAATGTCCCTTGGTTCATTTCCCAGTACCCCCCCCATCACCAAAAAAGCAAAAATGTTTGGGGGCGGGGTCAGCACAGTGGGCCCAGTTTGTAGAATTATTCCCTTAACCTCATCATGTTCCCATCACTCATGTCTGTCTATCCCTATTACTTTCTGCCTTTTCTTCCATTCTTTCTCTTTTTATTCCAGGAGATTTCCTAGGCTTTTTTTCCCCAATGCATTGAACTTTTAAACTTAATTTCCAAAGGCACTTCTTTTTAGAACCCTGTTAATATTTCATTGCTATAATCTTCTTTTGCTTCTCTTGACTTTTTGTGTTATGAATTGTAATGTTTAATTTTTTTAGTACTGAGGACTGAATCCAGGGCCTCATGCATGCTAGGCAAGAGCTATGTCACTGAGCTACATAGCCCAATTATATTGTGAGCCTCACTGTGCAGCAATCAGTTAGGAATCTAGGTGTTGTTTTTGTTTTTTAATTTAAAATAATTTTCCCCCCAGGGGGCTGAGATTGTGGCTCAGTGGTAAAATGTTTGCCTAGCATGTGCGGGGCCCTGGGTTTGATCCTCAGCATCACATAAAAAATAAATTAAAAAATAAAATTATAGAAAAAAGTTTTATTGTTTTTTAGACATTGATGGACCTTTATTTTATTCATTTATTTATATGTGGTGCTGAGAATCAAACCCAGTGCCTCACACATGCTAGGCAAGTGCTCTACCCCTGAGCCACAAACCCAATCCCTCTAGGTGTTGTTGTTTTTTTTTTTTTATATTACTCTAAATAGTGTCTATAAGTATTCTCATGGATGATTCTTCTTTTTAAAATATTTTGTTGGGGTTTTATTAGTTGTAGTTGGACTTAACACCTTTATTTTATTTATTTTTTTATTTTTGAATATTTTTTAGGTTTTTTTTTTTTGAGAGGAGAGAGAGAGAGAGAATTTTTTTAATATTTATTTTTTAGTTTTCGGCAGACACAACATCTTGTTTGTATGTGGTGCTGAAGATCGAACCCAGTGGCTCACACATGCTAGGCAAGCACTTTACAGCTGAGCCACAACTCCAGCTCCTATTTTATTTTTTATGTGTTGCTGAGGGTCGAACCCAGTGCCTCATGCATGCTAGGCAAACACTGTACTGCTGAGCCATAACCCCAACCTTGGATTATCCTTTTTTCAGAAAAGAATCCATTTATCTGTAGATACCTGGCAACCACCAACGTTGTGGGAATCCAGCCTATTCTGTATGTAAACATTTACTCATCCCCTTGTTTTGTAGTTCTCCATTTCCTTTCCTTCTGGAATTCCCCAATACTTTGTTCACTTGAGAGTCTCAACCTTTTAGTTTTTGTATTTGCCTACCTTCACCTTTTTTTTAAAAAAAAATTTTAGTGGTATTTCATTAAGATGTAGAAATAAATGCCTTATTTATATTCTCTCTGTTCATTTTATGTTTTGCTCTTATCCTACATTCTACCAATCTTCTATTTGCCCTTCATTGTAATAATTGCCTAGTTTTTACAATTTCTCTTATTTTACTGTTCATGGTGTGTGTAGGGTTACATTTAAAAGTAAAGATGTATATACCTATGAATGTTATATGTATTTGAACTTTTATACTGATGACTACTCTGGAATAGTCTATTTTAAAAGCACTTTTCTAAAATTATATTAATGATTGTGGGAAAATTCACTATGCTTTCACTTTGAAAAGCAATTTACCTAGTTAGTGATTTTGTTGATAATGATAATCTAATTTATTGGATGCTTACTACATGCCAGGCACAGGCACTTGTTAACTGTTTTTCCATGATGATTTTTTTTTTTTTAGAATAAACCTGAGAAGTTTATAAACAAATAAAGATACAACGTGAAAGACTTGAGTGAAGTCTCATTGTTCTCTGTGAAAATATAGACTGAGGAAACAAAATAGTATTTCCTTGGAGCACAGCATTGATTCTTCAAGACTACACTTCTGTGTATGGGACTCAGTTTAAGAAAAGTTGAAACATAATTTATGCTTAAATATGCAAGAAGCAGTATAAGAAAGAACCATTGACTTGGGGTTGTGGCTCAGTTGTAGAGTGCTTGCCTAGCATGCATGTGGCACTGGGTTCAATCCTCAGCAACACATAAAGATAAAATAAAAATATTGAATCCACCTAAAACTTAAAAAAAAAGAACCATTAATACAAAGAGAATGCTATATCTCATCCCTTTTTATAATCATCTCATCTCAGGATATATCAGTGTGAGAAAAATCTTCCATCATTAACTCAAATTTGTTAGATACCTGAGAATATTGAAAAGAAATCACACAAGTTTAGTGAAACGTGGAAAAGCTTTCATCCTTACTGCATTTCAGTAGCTACAAGGAAAAAGGGAAACCTAGGAGAATTGTCCTGTGCATGACAGGAATGTTGGAAAGTCTTCAGCCTGATTCAGATCTACTTCAGCATGATGAAATTCATACTGATCAGAAACCTTATGAGTGTAAAAAAACCTTTAGCCTGAAAGAAAACTTGATAGAGCAAAGGAACATGCATACTGGAGGAAAATCACATGAATGTACTGAATGTGGTAAAGTGTTCTCTCGAGTCTCATCACTTACTCTACATTTGAAAAGTCATACAGGAAAGAAATCCTATAAGTGTAATAAGTGTGGAAAAGCCTTTGGCCAAAAGAGAAACTTCCTTTCTCATCAGAAACATCATACTGAAGAGAAATCTTATGAAAGTGGGAAAACTTCTGTTAAGATGCCAATCCTCATTAAACACCAGAGAAATCATACAGAAAACAAACCATATGCATGTAAGGAATGTGGCAAAGCTTTTAATGGAAAGTCATATCTCAGCGAGCATGAGAAAATTCATACTGGAGAAAAACCTTTTGAATGTAATCAATGTGGAAGGGCCTTCAGCCAGAAGCAGTACCTCATTAAACATCAGAACATCCATAGTGGAAAGAAACCCTTTAAATGTAATGAATGTGGGAAAGCCTTTAGCCAGAAGGAAAACCTCATTATCCATCAGAGAATACATACTGGAGAGAAACCTTATGAATGTAAAGGGTGTGGGAAAGCTTTCATTCAGAAGTCAAGCCTCATTAGACACCAGAGAAGTCATACCGGAGAGAAACCATACAGTTGTAAGGAATGTGGAAAAGCCTTCAGTGGCAAATCAAATCTCACTGAGCACGAGAAAATTCATATTGGAGAGAAACCCTATAAATGTAATGAATGTGGAACAATCTTCAGACAGAAGCAATACCTCATTAAACATCACAATATTCATACCGGAGAGAAACCCTATGAATGTAATAAATGTGGAAAAGCCTTTTCTCGAATCACATCACTTATTGTACATGTGAGAATCCATACAGGTGATAAACCATATGAATGTAAAATATGTGGGAAAGCCTTCTGTCAAAGCTCGTCTCTTACTGTACATATGAGAAGCCACACAGGTGAGAAACCCTATGGTTGCAATGAATGTGGGAAAGCCTTTTCTCAGTTCTCAACTCTTGCTCTACACATGCGAATCCATACTGGTGAAAAACCTTATCAATGTAGCGAATGTGGGAAAGCTTTCAGCCAGAAGTCACATCACATTAGACACCAGAGAATTCATACTCATTAAAACTCTATGAAGGCCTTGGATGTAGAAAAAACTCCATCAGAATTTATACTTAATAATATCAAAAAACTTATTTTACATTAAAGTGACACAAAATGTGGGAAATCCTGCAGCAACTCAAAATACAAAGATGTTTAATAAGTAGCAGGGCAAAAAGCTTCCACAATAAATATTATTGTACTTTTATGAGCATTCTTGTTGAGTTAGAATCCAGTTATGGAGACCAACTAGCATGTTTCTGGGAGTCCTATGAGATACATTAAGACAACTATATGAGAGAAAAGGATTTGAAATTGAGAGACAATTATTTTTTTGTTATGTGCTTTGCTATATGTGTACTTTGTAAAACTAATCAAAGTATTTGGTGTTGATGCAATTGTAGAAAATTGAGGTTGGGACAGAGTACTGAATCCATTAAGCCTGAATTTGTGGGTAATTGGTGATTCATAAAGGTGGCATCCCAAATTTAGGGATTATTTTAAAAATGATCTCAGGGTAATTGATTTCTTCATTTGGAAAAATAAGCAACCTCTGTCATTATTCATTAAAATACTTATTTATTATGAAATCCAAAACTTGAATGCTGGAATGCAAAAAGCAAAACAATAATATAAATTTTATACAAGAGTGTTTTTAAAACCTTAGGGTAGGAAAGAATTTCTAAATTATATTCCAGAAGACTCAACAATTCTACTTTTAAATATATATACATATACCCAAAACACATGGACACAGGGAGTATACGTGTCTGTTCATTGCAGCATGAAAAATGGTAGCCAAAAATTGGAAACAGATGTCTGTTGCTTGTGAAATACATATATAAAATGTGATAGTCATAGAGTAGAATACTCTCTAGCAGTCAAGTACAAATTAAATTTGTATGTATATTAACAGTGAAAGATATGAAAAATCATACAGAATGAAGAAAACCGAAGTGATGAATATATTGTAGAGATATCCTTGTGAATCTAAATAAAATCAACACTAACCAACCCCTGTACCTTAAGCGTTGGTTATAGATAAATGCTTTTTTGTAAAACTTTTTTTTTTCCTGTACCAGGAATTGAACCAAGGGGCATTTAACTACTGAGTCACATCCCCAGCCCTTTTCTGTATTTTGAGATATGGTCTTGCTAAATTACTTAGGGCCTCACTAAAGTGCTGAGGCTGACTTTGAATCCTCCTGGCTAAGCTTTCTACGCTGCTGGGATTATAGGCATGAGTCACCATCATACCCAGGTTTGTGTCAGTGATAGAGTACTTGCCTATTATGTACAAAAGCCTGGGTTAGATCCCCAAGAGCACAGAAATAATTTTTTTTTTAAAGAGAAAATTTTTTAATATTTATTTTTTAGTTTTCGGCGGACACAACATCTTTGTTGGTATGTGGTGCTGAGGATCGAACCCGGGCTGCACTCATGCCAGGCGAGTGTGCTACAGCTTGAGCCACATCTCCAGCCCCAGAAATAAATATTTTAATAGAGAATAAGGGGCTGGGGCTGTACCTCCGTAGCAAAGTACTTTCCTACCATGTGTGAGGCACTGGGTTCGATCCCTAGCACCACATAAAAATAAATAAAGGTATACTGTCCATCTTCAACTACAAAAAAAATTCTTTAAACATGAATCAGAAGGAAATATAAACAGCCCCCCAAAATGGTTGCCTCTAGCAGAAAGGAAATATGACCAGCATAATAAAGAACAATTTAGTTGTGTATCAAAATAATCTATTTCCCATTAAAAAGAAAGATTCTAAGTAAATGTAACAAAATGGTAATTCTTTTTTTTTTTTTTTTTTTTTTTGTGGGGGTGGCTACTGGGGATTGAACTCCAGGGCACTCAACCACTGAGCCACATCCCCAGCCTTATTTTATATTTTATTTAAAGACAGGGTCTCACTGAGTTGCTGACCCTGGCTTTGAACTCAAAATTCTGCCTCAGCCAGCCTAGCTGCTAAGATTTCAGACGTGTACCACCTCACCTGACTAATGTTAGTTTATTCTGAGTTGTGGTAATGTATGTATTCATTCTATTGTTTCTACTATTAAGCAGGAAGGTGGTAGTGCATGCTTGTAATCTCAGGAACTCAGGAAGCTGAGGCAGGAGGATCACAATTTTGAGGCCAGGCTCAGCAATTTAGGCCCTAAGCAATTTAGTAAGACCCTGTCTCAAAATTAAAACATCAAAAAGGACTGGGGATGTTGCTCAGTGGTTAAGTGTCTCTGGTTCAATTCTTGGAAAAAAAAAAAAGAAAAAATGGAAAGATGAAGAAGCTGTACATGAAGTACATATGATAGAATTCTCCCTTATTTCTGGGGGATACATTCTAAAACCCCCAGTTTTAATGATGCTTAACATCTATACATGTTAGGGTTTTCCTATACATAGCTAACATAAAAGTTTAATTTTTAAATTTAAGTGCCATAAGAGATTAACAATGATCTACTGTAGAGCATAGCAACCTCAGTGTATGATTTTTTTTTCCTACTAACTTGAGAACTTTCACCTTTTTGATTAAGGGTAAAATACAGCTTTGCTTTGGTATACCCAGATTCCCATCATCACTACTCTTACATTATTAAGTAAAATAAGGTTTACTTAAACACAAGCATTGGGATACCACAACAGTTATTCTGGTAACTGGAGATGCTACTAAGTGACTAATAGGTGGGTAGTATATACTGAAAAGGAATCTTGTAAGTCAATATTTTTGTGAGGATTTTTGTTTACTTGATCCCTTTTCATGATAGCTTGCCAGAAAACTGTAAATGGTCTTTTTGAAGAGTGATAAAAATGAAAGTACACAGCATTTAAGCCTTAGACTGATTACAGATATATTAATTTCTTTTAAATTTAATATAATAAAGTGATAATATTACTACAGTACTTCACTGGTTTTAACATCTTTGAAGGTTTGTCTTGAGATAAGATTGAAAATGGTAAGGGTTGAGTTCTGAAATAATATGCCCAAACAACACATGTATATCAACATGAATAAACTAGTCTCTGTTTTCTTCCATTCCTTACATTGCTTTACTTGAACATTCTTTCAAAATAAGTATTCATTGCATATTCTTGTGCAGCATTAGCATCAGAAGAACTAGGAAAATATTTAAAACTAAATTAGGAAGGCTACCTTTAGATGCTCGACCAGCATAAAGGAGCATTTGTGATGGTCATATAGAAAAAGAAGCAATCGCTACATGGTATTTCTGTGATAATATGTACTGGGAATATACCCAGTCACTTCCTGTTGGTTGACTTGTCACTTATTTGCCACCTTAAACAAACGTTCATAGAATCAATAACCACTTAGTACCCACTAGGATGGCAATTATCAAAAAGTACAAAGCAAGTGTTAAAAACCATGTGGCGACTGGAGCTCTTGTGCATCACTGGTGGGAATGTAAAATGGTGCATGTGAGGGGAAACCAGTTGGTGGCACTCAAACAAGCCTTTAGTCTAAGGCTTAAATGCTATGTACTTTCAAACTGTTACAAATAGAATTGCCATGTTCTGTGGTTGGATATGGTTTGTAGTCCATTCCCCAGAGTTCATGAGCTGAAAGCTTGGTCCTTAACATAAGAGTATTAAGATGGAAGAACCTTCAGGAGGTAGGGCCTAGAGGAATATAATCAGGTCATAGGGTTGCCACTCTCACAAATGAATGAATGCTATCATGAAAGTGGGTCAGATCTCATGACTGCACTAGTTCTTGTGAGAGTGGGTTGTTTTAAAATGACACCACCTAAACCTTGGCCTTCTCTGCATGAAGACCAGTTTGCTTTTGACATCTCTGTCATAATACAGCCAGGGGCCCCTGCTAGCTATACTGACACCATGCTGTTTGAGCCAACCAACCACCAGAATTATGAAGCAAATAAGCTTTTTTAATATTTATATTTTAGTTTTAGGTGGACACAATACCTTTATTTTACATTTATGTGGTGCTGATGATCGACCCCAGTGCCCCATGCATGCTAGGCAAATACTCTACCACTAAGCCACAATCCCAGCCTCTCAAATAAGCTTCCTTTTTTTTTGATAAGTTATCTAGCCTCCAGTATTTTGTTATAGCAACATAAAACAGACGAAGCTAACACCATGTTATCTAGTAATTCAACTTCTTGTTATATACTGCCAAAGACTTGAAAGTGAGGAGTCAGAGATATTTGTACATATATGTTTATAGTAGCCCTGTTCACAATAGCCAAAAGGTGGAAACAACCCTGATGCCCATCAACAGATAAATATCAAATAAACAAAATGTGATTATACATAAAATGATACATTATTCTGACTTTATAAGGGAATGAAATTCTGATGCAACATTGACAAACCTTGAAAAAATATGCTGTTCAATAGCTCAGATACAAAAGAATAAATACTAAATGATTCCACTTATATGAAGGACCTAGAATAGGCAAATTCATAGGGACAAGAAGTAGAATAGAGGTTACAGAGGATGGGGGGGAAAGGGGGAAGTTTTTACTTACTAAGCATGGAAGTTTTGTTTAATAGAATGAAAAAGTTTTAAAAATGGATAGAGGTGATGTTTGCACAATACATGAATGTACTAAATGCTACTAAACTGTATACTTAAAAATGGTGTGGCACAAACCTGTAATCCCATTGGAGGCTGAGGCAAAATGATCACAAGTTTGAAGCAGCAATTTAGTGAGAGCCTGTCTAAAAATAAAAAGGGTTGAGTCTATAGCTCACTGGTACAGTACCTGTCGGTCCAAGTACCAAAAAGGAGGAAAAAAAATGATTAAAGCATGGGCTGGAAACAACTCAGTGGTAGAGCAGTTGCCTAGCATGTGCAAGACCCTTAGTTCAATCCCCAGCACCAAAAAGAAAAAAAAAAAAAAAGGTTACAATGGCAAAGGTGACACACCCTTTAATATCAGTGATTTAGGAGGCTAAGAAGAAATTGCAAATTTGAGGCCTTATCAGCAATTTAGTGAGGCCCTAAGTAATTTAGCAAGACTCTGTCTCAAAATGAAAAAAAGACTGGGGATGTAGCTTAGTGGTTAAGACCCCTGATTGGTATCCCTAATACAAAAAAAAAAAAAAAATACCAACAAGGTCAAGGGATATGGTTCTGTGGCTTAGCTCTGCAGTTTACCATAAAGCACCTCTGGATTAGATCCCCAGTACCAAAAAATATATGTTTGTTTGTATATATGTTTAATTTCCTGGTAGAAACTATGTGCTTAGTATATTTTAAAACTAATTATTGGGCTGGGGATGTGGCTCAAGCGGTAGCGCGCTCGCCTGGCATGCGTGCGGCCCGGGTTCGATTCTCAGCACCACATACCAACAAAGATGTTGTGTCCGCCGAGAACTAAAAAAAATAAATATTAAGAATTCTCTCTCCTCTCTCTCTCTCTCTCTCTCCTCTCTCACTCTCTCTTTTAAAAAAAAACTAATTATTAAGGTCTGGAACTCAGTGGTTGAGCACTTGCCTAGCACATGTGAGGCACTGGGTTCAATCCTCAGCACCACATAAAAGTAAATAAATAAAAGGTATTGTGTTCATCTACAACTAAAAAACAACTTTTTTAAAAAGCAAGTTAAATATATTAAACCTACAAAATTGATCTGAGCAGTGACAAAAACTAACATTTGCTTAGAAAAGCTAAGAGTTGAATGGTAATTGAAAAAGTTTTATTATATTAAAGAATGAAAGATCTAAGGATACTACTGGGTTTTTTGTTTTTCTTTTTTGTTTTGCTGGAGATTTAATCAACAGACACTCTGCCACTGAGCTACATCCCCAACCCCTTTTTAATTTTATTTTGAGACAGGTTCTCATAAAGTTTCCAAGAATGGCCTTGAATTTGTGATCCTCCTGCCTCAGTCTCTCGTGTCACTGGGATTACAGCTATGCACCACCATGCTCGACCTCAGAATATTTCTGTATGGGCAAAGCATATTGTAAAGAGCAAATCCAGAGAATAGCATATGAAAAATATAAAGGAAAAAATTCCCAGCTGG